CTGCTCCCCGAGTTCTCCTGTGAAAGCCACGTCTCCTGAAGCACCCCAATGTTCTCACAGCCCTGGCTGCGCATTAGAACCACCCGAGGAGCTTCTACTTAAAAAACAAAAATGTTTTTATTGATTTCAGAGAGAGGAAGGGAGAGGGAAAGAGAGATAGAAACTTCAACGATGAGAGAGAATCAGTGATCGGTTGCCTCCTGCACGCCCCACACTGGGGATAAAGCCCCCAACCTGGGCATGTGCCCTGACCGAGAATTGGACCATGACCTCCTGGTTCATAGGTCGACACTCAACCACACCAGCCAGGCACTTGTACTTTTTTAAAAGATGTAAGGACACTCTGGTCTCGCCCCGACCAATTGAATTAGGGGGTGAGGGCCATGCATCTTTATTTTTTTTTTTAACTCCCCAGATGATTTTTATGCACGGTGAGTTTTGAGAGCTAACCACACTGAGGGCCCCGTTTTGTTTAGGCATATAAAAAGCATCCCCTGCTTAAAACCCTGCAAAGGAAATGGATTTGTGTTGTTTGATAAGCCACTGAGTGTGTGGCCATTCGTCACAGCAGCCACGGGAAACTAATACAGTTTCTGTGCTGGTAAATCCGTAGACAGAGTTGGCTTGAATTTCAAGGGCCCTCGCGTCGCATTAGTGGGTGGTTTTGGGGGATGTGGCCAAACCATCTTAGCTATAAATCAGAACAATGTTAAATAAGGCTTCATCCACATCGAACCCTTTTTGGAGAAAGAGAGGCGCTATTAATAACTAAGCAGGCCCATAGGTGTGAGCAGGGTCTGTTCCCAGTGGGCTGGGCTGGGGGTCACCCTGTTAGCAGCCGGCCGATGCAGTGGTCAGCCAACCGTGGGCCCGTGGGCCCGGCCCACTAGCGAGCCAGGAAGGAATGGTTTTTACAGAGCATTTGCAACCTGTTTGGTAGAGAACACTACCTTTGAAACCCAATTACACAAAACCAGCTTCTCCCCCAGAAATTCCATTCTTCTCCTTAGTAGACCTGTCGTCCAAAATATTGTACTTCATTCTGACATTTGAAATCTTATCAATAAAACATTTGTGGAAAATTGTGTTTTTTTTCCCTCTTGTTTGTGTAACTAACTACATAACACCCTCAATTTTGCCTCTTGTCCTGCAAAACCTAAAATATTTCCTGTATGTCTGTGAGCCAGGTAGCAGCAGTGGCTACGGGTGTCGGTGGCTCACATAAGGGCATCGTTTGGCCCACACGGTGTCACTTTAAAATGTGAATTGGGCCTGGCCCTGTCGGTGGCTCACATAAGGGCATCGTTTGGCCCACACGGTGTCACTTTAAAATGTGAATTGGGCCTGGCCCGCGTGGCTCAGTGGTTGAGTGTCCACCTATGAACCAGGAGGTCAGGGTTTGATTCCCGATCAGGGCACATGCCCGGGTTGTGGGCTCGATCCCCAGTGGGGGGCGTGCAGGAGGCAGCTGATCAATGATTCTCTCTCATCATTGATGTTTCTATCTCTCCATTCTTCTCTGAAATCAATAAAATAATATATTTTTTAAAAAGTGATTTGGAGCTGAAACCGGTTTGGCTCGGTGGATAGAGCGTCGGCTTGCGGACTGAAGGGTCCCAGGTTCGATTCCGGTCAAGGGCATGTACCTG